TCATTGAGTTCAAATGAATTCACTCTTCGATGAGGAATTTTTTTTATTCGTTCACTTTAAGAGGGCACTCTCTAAAACTTCTTGGAACGAAATTTCCTACTTGGACATGGCTGTCGAGTCACTCGAATTTTCATTCATTCGAGCTTCGAGTGAATTTTCCAAATTCCACTTCTTTAACAACAGAAGAGTCCTTTCGTAAAAATACAAAAAAGAATACAGTAGATAAATTTATAATAATGTATATATTATAATAATAAAAAAAAGAAACGAAAAAGATAACACTCATTTTTCGCTCGTTTTAAGTCAAAATTTCACTCACAGAAATTTAAAAAGAGAAAGAGAGATGAGGGGAGAGAGAGAGAGACAAAAAGAGAAAAAATACGATCGCGTATATTTACTATATTTTTGCATCATTAATTATCGATTATTAATCGCGCTTTGTCTAGGTCGCTTCGCCCGGCAATCGCCATTAATAGTCGTCAGCACCATTAATAATGCAACCATAAAATAATCCTACGATAAACTGCGGTAATTTCGACGGTATCGCATGATCGAACATTACGGTGAACGGCAGTAGAACTTGGCGTCTGCGGTGCGAGAGCAGGTCGGACAGTTTGCTAATTGCCATTCGAGTGCACATTGTCGCCAAAAGTTCGGCCGTTCGATTTCGCCGGTTCAATGTGACAGATTTTCTAATTTTGAACTTGTAATGTCGCGGCGAACTCTTACCTTCTTTCGGACCATCCCACAACGACAGAAAGGAACGACGATCCTTTTGTACGAGCCCTTTTTTACGAGGACTTTGTTTCTCGATAAATATACCGCGTAGATGTAGCGTGAAAAGTCATGTTTAATAGTGATCGTTGAATAATAATCCGCTTGAAAGAGAGAGAGAGAGAGAGAGAGAGAGAGAGAGAGAGAGAGAGAGGGGGAGAGGGGAGGGAGGGAGAAAGTAGAGTAGAATAGAGTAGAATAAAGTTTATTAACATCCCGGGGTTACTCCTTAAAGTTTATAATATTACATAGTAGGATGTGATGAAATGAGATGTTGAGTAGAACCATGCGGATCTATTGAACCTGATGAAACCACAGAAGCAAGTCAAGAGTAAAGATACACGCAAGAGTAAACGCAATTGCGAAACTGCAAGAGATAGAGAGAGAGAGAGAGAGAGAGAGAGAGAGTGAGAGGGACGAGAACAATCCCTATAGGTGTAAATTGTATATAAGATTTTCTATATTCAGATATCCCCCGATATACACAGTGTATACAAACGTACATGGGAAATATCTATTATTAGTGGAGAAATAGTCCCGGAGTGGTCCTCTCACGGGCATGTTTTTCGATTCTAACCAAGCCAGAACATGCACACGTACTCACACACACACACACACATTCGCCGCTACTTTCTAAATCACTTGTTATTGGATTGGTCGATTGATTACGCGCTAAGTAGTGTTTATTATCCCGTAATTATAGGGAATACGGTTGATATAGAATAGGATATATTATATATTAATATAAACCGACGAACACACAAACGCAATACAAGATACACACAGACAAACACACATATGTACGTGTATATGCTATATAGAGAAACATATACATAATTATACACCAACACCAATCTATACATACGTACGCGTATATGCGCAGACTTCGTCACAAAGGTCTACGTACGTACCATTGTCTTCGTAGGGAAAGTGCGAAAAAGTGTCGTTTTCTAATGGCTACACGACTTAGGTGTTGAAGAAATGTTTATCCGTAGCTAAGGGAGGAAGAGAGGTGAGAGGGGGAGAGAGAGAGAGAGAGAGAGAGAGAGAGGGAAGTCGAAAGAGAAGAGAAAATAGGCTAATCGCTGTTTTTCAAAATGCACATAGATCTAAGAGAGGCCCGACGTGCGGCCTCTTATCGATTAACCAACAATTTCTTGCGATTTTCACGTAACGTGACACTTAGAGACACGAAATGGGCCGATATAGATTTTTGCGACTAAGTAAAATCGAACGTACATATGGGGAGGGGGGGAGAAGGGTGATTCCCGCAATCCCTAGGGATTTTCGACTAACATGTGGACTCGATTCCTCTTCAACGAAAACATCGTCGAGGTGCCGCACAGTGGACTGCGAAACATTCAAATCTGTGGGCGAAATCTGATCTAGTCAATTTTAGAAATTGCGAAGAACTGCTTGCGAGTTTAAACAGTTTATAATGCAGGATTCATGTAATTACGAACTCAGTTATGCCTCAACTCTCTCTCCGTATCTGCATAATTAGCTCGCAAGCGTGAATAATGCAGCGTAAAACATTCCTGCTCACGTTTATTAGAACATTAAATTGTAGAAAATTTTGAACACGCTAGTTCCTATGCCGGAAATATCTCAGAATTTATTTCTCGAGAGAGAGAGAGAGAGAGAGAGAGAGAGAGAGAGAGAGAGAGAGAGAGATTTCTCAAACATTTGTTTCTCGGAAATTATTTCTCATTTCAGATCTTTAAATATTTCAACGACCTGCAAACGTGGCTTCAATATATTGAAGTCTTTTGAAAACGTACTTGAGAATCGTGCGCATTTACACAATTTTGTCCGCAAATTTGGCTGCTTCAGCCCGCTCTGTGCGTCGGGACGGAGTATTCTCTCGCGTATCAGCCCGCGCTACCCAAGACGCATCGTCGTCATTCAGCGAGTCCCGTTGTTTGTTGAAGCCAACAACCGATATAGCTCCGACCTCGACTCGAGCCTCTAACTTGCGAATAATCGTCTAGCTGTCGACGGGCACACGAGAGCCCCGTCGTGATAGTCAAATGTATAAACGTAGATAGACTTAAGGAGCAAACGAAAGTAAGAGAGAAGAGAGAGGAAAAGCAGGAGGCTGCTCTTGATGCGCGTTCTTCACTCGTTCACGGCGCGCGTGAAGAAGCGAATTATACATCGAATCATGAAGCACTCGTTAAGTGACCGCGCGACGCCGACACGTCGACTCGTCGTCCGTCGAGCGTCGATCGAGTTTCCCCTCAAAGACACCTACGGAATTGCCATCATGGGGAGCGCACGCCCCGTAAATGTGGATACGACAGGTTTCAACCAAGAGAGAATATTTCTATCGAGGGCAGGATATGGATGTTGTATGAGATCGAATTTCGGAGCTTACTCGAAGAGCACCGAGAGGGAAAGAGAGGAGGCAGCAGGACATAAAAAATGGGAGAGCGGATTTATATGGGACAGGCGAACGTGTATTAAAACAAATCAACAAGAACACGGTATCCTCTTAGTTCTTGGGGCCAATCGGTACGACGAGGGAGAGGGAGAGAGAGAGAGAGAGAGAGAGAGAGAGAGAGAGAGAGAGAGAGAGAGAGAAGGCCACGTACGACGCGTGAACACACGTGGAGACACGTCGGGCTGGCTTTTCGCCGAGTATTCCGTTCCTCTCGCGTCTTTTCGCGAAAAACTGCTCGTTTCCTTTGTATACGTTTACCCTCTCGAGCCTCCTTCCCTTATCCACCACCTCCCCCCCGAAACAGCAGTGTTACTTTCAGTCCGCTGTTTAACGACGAAGGCAGTCTGCTCACACGTGAAACTCAACATGTGAAGCTCAACGAGCGACGGCAAGTATCGAGCAGCGAGAACGATTCGCTGCGAAAAAATCGCAGTCGTCGCCTCTCGGCAGGTGGACTCAACGCAAATCCGAGCTCTTTTTTACGAGTACCGTAGCGAAATTTCAAGAGGAAATTGATCTTCGATCGACGACGGGGTAGCGTGATTCGCAGTAGACCGTCAGAGTCGGTCGTTCGCGATTTCTCTTCCCGCATTGTGCGCTTTTCGCGTTTCCCTTCGACGGCTGACAGACGGCTTAATCACGAGACCGCAAGCGATCGAGGCTCGAACTGATCCGCATCCGTGTGGAGAATTTTTCTTCTCTTTTCTTCCTTCATTTCGAGCCAGAAGAGTCGTTGCCGGCGCTTCGTTCCGCTGATCGAAGAATCGAGGCGAACTTCTCCCGAGAGGCGATCGATGATTGAAAAGTGCCGTCGCATCAGCGAGTCCTCTCTTGTCACGCGACGATAACGACCATGGTGATGACGATGACGACGATGACGACGAAGCAATACGGGTGTGCTCGCACTCATGCGCGACAGGGCGAAGCTCTCCCGGCGAGGCGGCGCATCGCGCGATCGCGAGGCGAACTAATGAGAGGCTGGCGCGCAAAGGGCTGATGTGTTCATTTCGAGTGATATTACGCTTCGTTTGCGACGCGACACGACACGACGAGGAAATCGAAGACAAGGCGATGTCAAACGCGAGTAAACGCGATCTACCTCTCCTCATCTTCCTCCGCCGTATCCCGAATACGCTGACGGAAAGAGACTAAGGGGCAAGATCTTTCGTTATCAGGCGCGGCCATTGGCGCAATTAAACGTATATATTATATACGTACTGAAGGCTCTCCTCGGTATTTGGATGTCCGCGACTGGATGAGATGTATGAAATCGGGTCCGGCCTGGAAACTGAAAACCGCGTCGTTCGGATTCGAGTCCAGGCGATCTGCATCCAAAACTGAATTCGGATTTCCGAATTTGAGTCTAAAGCAGCTTAGAAAAGAAAGGAGAGGTGAATCAGAAAACGAGATTATTCAAAGTAATGATTATTATCGAAATACATAAATACACAGAGACACAACCGTTTCAGACTAATTCTTGTTTAGTTCCCAGTAGAGATGTGCGAATCAAGAATTTTTATGTCGAATCGAATGTCATTTTTTAAATTCGAATTCGAATCGAATCGTTGAAAAACGTTAAATAACATGATTATTAAACATGTAAATAATGATGAAAGATTTTAATATGGGAGGGAATATTGATATTGTAATATCATCTTAAAGTAAAATATGTATATTTAAATATTTAAAGTAATTTACATTTAAGTTATTAATTATAAGTTAAGTTAATTACAAGTTAAGGGTTCAAACATACAGGCCCAGCTTTGGCCTGTTTTGTAGCTGATGCACACAAACGATAATATATTTGATTCCTATTCGAATTATTCGAATTCGAATAGTTCGCACATCTCTAGTTCCCAGCGTTTACTCGACCGGCGTCGATTAAGCCTAGCTTTCGTAGTTTGCATTGTTTGTCTGTCGGGTCGCGTAAAATTGCAAATGCATTATATTCTGTAAGAGAATTCGCAGAATCTACAGAATCAAACAGAAAGACAGCGCGCACTACGTTATGTCGATGTATTTAGCGTTTAAGTCTTAACCTGAGAATTTAAGCTTCATTCAAACAAAGACGGGTTCAATTCGGGTTAAGACGAAGACGTTGCTAGAAACGAGAATAAGTCATGAAATTGTTAAGAAATATCGATCTGCTTGACATTTTTGAGAAGGATCCAGATCGCCGCGAATTTACGCTCCGGATCCGAATTCGATGCTTCGACCGTTGGAGTATTACGGAAAATTCCTATTCTTCCGGGTAACCGTAATTTGTTACGTTTATCCGCCATCCGAATGATAATCGGCAACCCGGATAGTGTCAAGTTTGAATACGGATACCTAAGCCCTTCACATATACCTCCCCGAACGATATGAAGTCCGGCCCGAAGCGTCGTTCGACGAGTGTCGCGCGTACCGTAATTATTATTATTATTATTATTATTATTATTATTATTACTACTACTACTACTACTACTACTAGTATTATTGTTATTATTATTATTATTATTATTACGCCGCCGTGTGTATACGGCAGCGGCGCGGACTCCTCCTAAATTCTCTTCGCACAAATACAAACAACCGACGAGCAAACAAACAAGTAACGACGTAGTGTAACTTACGACGGACCATATCAATGAATCATATCAGTAATGAAAGAAAAACGAAGAAGAAGAAAAAGAAGACGAAAGAGGAAAGAGAGAGAGGAGTATATATCTCGTCGCTCGGACGCGAGTCTGAGGCGAGAGGCGGCGAGTTTTTGACATGCTTTTAAATGCAACGAGCTCTCCTGTGTACAAAGGGTCGCCGATTGCGAGCAGTCGTTTCTACTGACTTACGTTCTACTCGTCGAGAAAAATTCGTACTTCGTGCAGGCGAAACGGCCGAGAGAATAAGAGAGAAAGAGCGACCGAGGCAGGAGGAGAGAAAAGCGCGATGCAGCCTGAGAGAAGAATGTGTAGGCTCGCAAAACGAGCCTACTCAAGCCCGATATCGAGAGTGTTAATTAACTAGCCGTGTGTTGTGTCCGCGCGGGGTCCATATTCTGATTTTAGAATCACCCTCATGGAAACGCGTCAGAATTCGAGTGATCTTCGGGCCAACTTTTCGGTGCTTCGCGATTCCTCGCAGCAGAGATTACTTCGATTACTCTAAATACTCTTGTTGTCGTTAATGCCATTGAGCAAAGTAAACCGGAGAACAAGACAATCCCCACCCGAGTGTCTAACAATGTAAAGTCGATTTGTTTCGTCGCGTTGGGAAAAGAAAGTTGGCCCGCCCGCAACATCGATTTCTCATCGATCGAGTGCGAATTTCTCCCGGACGCGTTTTGTCCTCGGACAAGAATCACTCCCACTTTCGAGTCGGAAGAGGGTTTGCGAAAGCCGGAGTGAAACTTATGCCTTGTATTTCGAGTAGAAGCCATTTTCGTTCGACGTACGAAAAATCTCGAGGCTGAACCTTGCGCTTTCAACCTCGGTTGTCCGCGGTAACACAAAGTGTCGGCGACTAGCTCGATTGTCTCGCTCACGGGAGAGAAAGATAGATAGATAGAGAGAGAGAGAGAGAGAGAGAGAGAGAGAGGGGGAGAGAAGGAATGATATATCGCGTAGATATAAATATCCAAAGACTCTCCGAAGTACGAGTTTGCCCCGACGGGCGTTTGCTTAGGCTTAAGCTTGCCGTAAGTGATGATTTGAGTCGAGGCGACTTCTCTTGAACCCGTGTGTCTCCGTTGACTGCGCGACGAAACGAAACACAACGCTTTACGAGAATACAATTGCTTCCCGCGAAACCCGATGTAAAATAGAGAGACGTGCGATAATAAAGAGGGAGGCTAGGAGGCGCGCGCGAGCGAGGCAGAGAGGAAGGCCGCGTGCAAAACGAGTCTCGATGCCGATTAAGTAAGGATTATACTCGGCGAAGCCTCTTGAACTCGGAGACGCTGATCTGAAAAAGACGGCCGTGCGATCGAAATATTAATTAACTCCACGGTGTCTCTCTCTCAATCTAATCGCTATCTCTCGGTTTATTATTTAAAGTAAGTAAGTTCGGCGGTAATCGATTGCGCAATTTTTCGCAACGTTACAGACACAAGAGAGGAGTGAGATCGAGAAAGAGAAGGAGAAAGAGAGAAGGAGAAGCAGGAGGGAGAGGGAGGTAGTGACAGATTCTCCTCATCCCGAGTCTCACTCACCCAGCGAGTCAACTTCGCGATCATCGTCGTAGTAGTTTTTAACGTGAAAAATTAAGAAAATGTAAAACGCAAGTTTATTGAGAGTCAGCCTCTCGTCGAGCATTTATACGTTTGAGAAATGTCGAGAATCGCAAGCGCGATCCGCGAGAGAGGATCGAGAGAGATGCTCCGGATTCGTTTCGCGTTAAATTCGAAGCCGTTCGAATTTAATAGCCCACTTCTCTCGGGGCTATCTTCATGAGAGAGAGAAAGAGAGAGAGAGAGAGAGAGACATTTATGTGTCTTACATTTGTTCCTCGAATTTCTCCCGATCGATTTCGCGACGCCATCGCGAGGCCATATCAGGGTGTCCGAGAGTTCGAGAGGTTTCCAGCTGTCAAGCTGGCACTCGGCGCTCGGCTCGGTACGGCAGGTTCTTTTACGCTTGAAGAGAACAACGCACGCGCGAACGCGCAGGACACGAAGTAGGAAGGAATGTGATCGCGCGTTCCCATTCTCTGTTACACCTACGCTAATTACACACACGTCCCACTATTGCGCGAGAGAGTGCATGTAGAATGGCGAGCAAAAGGGTGTCTAATTATCTATTTAAAGTAAGCGACCAATATGCTGGAAAATAAATAGGCTTGTTATCGCGACGAATTTGCTCATTCATTATCAAGCGAAGGGAGAAAAATCGTTAACCAGCTACGAATCTGTACTCGTACGAGAAGTAATTGCGAATTAAACGATTCTTGATTCTTGAGGCAACGTTTTCCCTCTCGTCTTTCTGTCACTACGACCTTGCCCACGTCCACTTCTCCTCCACGTCGCCTCCGGATGCAGGTAGAAGGAGAGAAAAATGAAGGATGGAAAACAGGGAGTTTTCGCGACGCGAGTGAATAATATAAATGAAAGCAAACGGCGATATTGAACGGTGTCTTTTCTGGAGATTTGTCTCTTATACATTGTGCCATCCGCGCTGCGTGAATTCGTCTGAAGTGAAGCGAATTATTATCGTTTTAACGAACTACCCGGGAAACTCTTTTGTATTTCCTTTTCTTAAACTCGCCACGACTTTGTAACCGGCAATCTCCATATCTTCATCGGCGCGCATGGATTTATAAGAGTTTGAAGAAACAAAATCTCCGATTCCGCTTGAAGAGATTTATTCTCCTAAAAAGCTTGCTCTCTCTCTCGAAATAAGTCCTCACAGTGGATTCCTCTCGTCACGTGGATCAGACTCGGTCGAAAATGCACCGAGGGGGCTAACCGCAATTCCTCGCAATGTTTCTTCGTAACATTATTGAGGTTTTCGGGAGCTCCTAGAACCTAGCTTTCGCTCTTACCTTTTCGAACACCACGAGGAGAGCGTTCACTTCGCTCGTTACCCGGACACGATCCGTCGGCGACTCGACTCCTTCGACTCGCGCGTGTGTCGCGCTTTTTCACCATCCCCTTTGCGGCGGGGGTGTAACACACGGAAATAAGACGAAATCACAGCTTACGGCCGGGTGTCACGATCGACTACGTCGAGATCTCGCCCCTTGATGCCGAGAGAGAGAGAGAGAGATAGAGAGAGAGAGAGAGAGAGAGAGAGAGAGAGAGAGAGAGAGAGAGAGAGAGAGAGACTCTCTCGGTAGGAGTGGCGGCAGGAGCAAACAAGACAGAACCAATCGCCGAGGAAGGGTGGTCCAGCCGGTGTTTGTCTTCTCGACCCTCCGCCGGGATGCCGCGGAATCGCGCGCACGGGAACCTGACGACGCGTACATCGGTCGCGGCCAATCGAACCGACCGGATCGCCACGAGAGTACGGAAGAAACGAAATCTCGAGACGAGATTATATAGCACAGAGGCGGCTCGCGCGCAGTTCCGAATCAACAATCGCGTGAGGAGCTTTAAACCGCGGAAAATCGCGCATCACCACGCCGCCCCGACATTCTCCCCGGCTTTCGGCAGTTGTTAAGCCCGGCCGAACCTTCGCGCGCTTCTCCTTCCACCCCTTCGAGAGAGGGCTCCGAGTCAGTCGGCGTTGGCGATCCTCTCGCTTCCTTTGAGACGACCGATGGATAATTAATTCCTCTCGTATCGGACTCGCTCGGTAGATAATCATTTATGCGTCTAAACATGTGACGGTATCATGTTGAACGGCTTCATCTCTGGCCTCTGTTAACGAGCAAATGATGTAACAACGATCATTGGTCGATATTACGAATTTCTTCACGCGACTCGGACCTCACTTCGCGCGATATCAGCCCGCCGAGATATCGCGTATCTCGGGGAAAATAATTTCGAGGGGGTCGAGCGTGTGGATTAATCGCGATGCGAGTGTTGGCGCGCACTCGTCGATTATCTCGGTAAGAAAGTGAGAAGGTACATAAATGACATAATCGACGAGACCTGCATGCGTCCCGTCGTCGTTCGTACACACGATTCCACAAACGAGGTGCTGGAACCATGTGGACGAGCGAGTAGAGACGCAGCGGAGGATCAGGCCGGGGCCGCTATGCTTCGCGGCAAGAGCAAGAACAGGTCGGAGAACAACGAGGACAACGAGGCGGAGGGTAAACAGAGAAGACCGAAATGCGCCCGCTGCAGGAACCATGGCCTGATCTCATGGCTGAGGGGCCACAAGCGGGAGTGTCGTTACAGGGAATGCCTGTGCCCCAAGTGCTCCCTGATCGCCGAACGGCAGAGGGTGATGGCAGCGCAAGTAAGTCTCACCGCGCGACGCATCCGTCTTATTTATTAACCCTTTGCACTCGTCCGTCCGTGCCAGCACAGCTGGCATGAAGGGTTGTTTCGGCAACTCGGAATGCCAGCTGTGCTGGCACGACAAAAGATTTAAAAACAGAGTCAATAAATTTATGTATAGATAGATGGTAAATCTTGTAATGTTTCCTTCTCTCAGCTAAAAAGCAATCGTAAATTTTTTATGATAAATTATATCTACAATTATCGAGGTTGTGGTGGGAAGAAATGTGGAAATATTTCTCTCGACTGCCAAGGGGTAACGCGTCTGCTTTTCCGCTTTTATTTGGAGCGCTACGCTTTGGAGTGCATGTGGTTGTTTAAAGCAAACTTGACCTTTTTTTTATGTGGATGCAGAAACACTGTCACCGCCACTTGTCATTGATGACGAACATGTTAAGGTGAATGTCTCCATTGACGACGATTGACTGTTTTATTTATGTGTACTAAATTGCTTTGTTCACGCGTTATTTATTTACGCCGTAATTCGAATCCTGATATTTTAGAAAATCACGGAAATGTGAAAGTCACAAACGGACCCACGATTTATCTTTCGAAATGAGATAACAGAAATAGCAATTATTTAGGGTGACGCATTTATTTGTGCTACAAGGGAACACCGCCGATGTTTTTCGGTCATCGCGGAGACGTGAAGATCAGAGTAGGACTTGTTTTTCAAATAAAATAACAAATGCAAATTTTCAAGATGACTTCTCCCCTAATGAAAGCTCCCCTGTAATATTTCCTCCGCTGACGAGAGAGAAATTTACGAGTACGCAATACTCTTGCTTTGATCCGCTAATTTTCACGTCTCTATACATTCTGCCGCTGAATCGAAAATAATCTCGCCGTGAGATTCAAGCAATTTTATTCTATAAAACGTGCCACTTCCGTCGTCTTGGGAGAATCCCCGCGCTTGCGCTCAGCACAGAAACGCGCGTGACAGAAACGATGATGACTCGGAATGGCTAATCCGAGGCGAGCATTATTCGTGAATGTAAATGTCACGACACTCCGTCCTCCGCCCGTGATGTCATTAATTTAGCACGCGAATGTTGTCTTTGCGCTTTGAGCGGCATGAGAAAAATGCGAAGGAAAAATGTCAATTCGCTGCACGCGCAATCGAGCGCGACTAACGCGCCTGCGATATTTTATCTTGCACGATTCACCCTCGATATTTAAAGGGACGCCCGATCGCCGAAGCTCGTTATCGTTGCCGCGCGTCCTTTAATGAGAGAAAAAGCGCGCATCTCTCTCTCTCTCTCTCTCTCTCTCTCCGGAAAATAAGAATTCCAAGCGCCTCTACAATTGCAATTTTTCCGCATCTATTTCGAGACGGCGATTACGCGTCGGGATCAAATTGCGCGGAGACCGAGGGAGAACACTTGGTTACTCGCGAGGAAGATATAACAATCTTGCGCTTCGCTGTTTTTTAATCGTAAATTTTCACACGTGATGCCCGGGAAGAATTTTGTAGGAAAAATTGTACGTAAAATTTTGCGAGATCGCGAGATACATATTTCGACGCTTTGTTTAAATTTAATTGTTATCCTGTATCTTATCTTATTTTATCGTACCCATTTTGTCCCTTTCGTTCATTACTTATTCTATTTGACTTTTACTCTATATTTACTCCATTTTACTCCATTTCGTTCTACAATATTATTTTACAATACTATTTTACCCCTCTGTTTCCCAAGTGCTATTTATATAACGGGGGATTGTGAAGAGTTTACTTGTTAAAAAATGTATCATGTCCCTCAGCGAGGTAAACTATATTGGCTGTATCTATTTTTGCATTGCTCAGAAGCGTGATAAAATGGAAGAGAGAGATTTCGTGTAAAATAAGCTACATAATATCCATCCTCGCCGTATACACAAGATAGGAGAAGAGGATTTTCCAAGCAATTCTGAATCACAACGTGAGAATTTCTTCTCACGTCCTACGCCACGAATCTCTGTCACTTCACCTCGTTCTCTCTACGATCGTCAAACCATTTATTTCCACGTGGTATCACGCGGAGCGTGTGCTCCATATAATTCCCGTAACTTCTGGAATTTCAACAAATATCCGCACGTGTGCGCTATGCCAGCTTGTTTCAATTCCGCTCTGTCGAGCTCCGAATTACAATTGCGTTCGTATAAACAGCCAGACAGAGTCATCGTCGATATCTTGTATTCGGAGCCGGAGCGATACGATCGCCGTATGCATAGCGCAACTCCACGATACGGCCACTCGGCCCTTGTCCGAGGGGACGAGCGACAGCAGGGGCGGTAAATTAAATCCATTAACGCTCGGTATAGCGTTTCGTTTCTGTTTGCATAGGCATTATGATACTCGATACTCTGTTTGCAGCGAGACTTTCGATCCGGTAAGCGCGACGCGTTAACGCTCGCGCGCGCGCGTCACCTACCTATCCCTGTAACTGTTCGAACGAAAATAATCGAGAAAAGGTGAGGAAGGGAGGGGGAGAGAGAGAGAGAGAGACTCGCGTGGTTAAATAATGCACGCTCGAAATCATCCATAGCAATAATTGTCAATGTGACCGCAAGCAACTGCGATTCTCCGCGAGAGCCCGACTCGTGGATGCGAGCTCCGCAATTCGAAGTGATAAACGCGAGACACGATATTACTCGGCAAATATTATCGGGATTACGAGCGAGTCGCGGTGCGTCAAACGTGTCGCGTGTAAATATCCCCACGAAAAATCCTCGCTGCGATGTCAAGTGTTTCACAATTGAAATATCGACTTTTACCGGTGCTTTTTCGGTATGTATCAAAAGAGGTAAGATTAATTTTGTACCCCGTTGTGATACGACTGACGAGTTTTCGAGGGGAAAATTTCGTGATGGAAGTGTTAATTTTTACGTAATATTATCTGTGCGCAATTAATAATAGTATTAACTACAGTGCAGTGTTAATGTAATTGCTATATGTTGCTGAGGAACAGCCGCGATAGACTCGACGATTCACACATTTTTTCGTAATTAAAATATAACTTTTTACGCAGCGTTATCAACGCTAAATTAAGAGTAACATTAATTGTACGGTGTTGATGTAATGAATATGTTCGAAACGGACGAGGAAGACTCGACGAACTATATATGAACTTTCTCGCATATATGAACTGCTTCTTCATCATTGGTGATTTCTTCCCGGGCACAAATCGGACTTTAATTTCGAAAATGAAAAATTCAGTGTCAAATCCAGTTTGCCTGGTTATCAGCGATAAAGTAGTGATCACCGCAGAGTTTTCAACCATTTTAAGGACAAAGTCACAAAACACTATTTCTGCAGACCTCAAGGAGAAGGAGGAGACTCGACTCGGGATTTTAACGGGGGGCTATTTTCCACGAAATTTCTTTGTTACAGAGAATTCTACATTTCTCGACAAGAGACTCTCTTCCTCTCTCCTTCTCTTCCTTTCTGTAGCAAATGCTACTGCAACAAGTAACAAGAAATGCATACATACACACACACACACACACACACACACACACACACACACATACACACATGTACACACGTGGCGATATATTGACCCGCGTGAAATCGGATAGTTACTCACTTTCGGGCGCGGTGATCGAATGCGATCGTAGCTGACGGGATAAAGAAGCGCAGCGGCCACTGTGTGAGATCTCTCTCTCTCTCTCTCTCTCGGCAGCAACAACGTGAAAAGATTATCGCGGGTGGTCCAGAGCTTGGAATAACACGCCGCGCGGCAAATGCGTCCATACATAAGCGACGGATCCATTTATAAGTCGAGCGCAGTCACGATCCATCACGATCCGATTGCCGCGCTATGTACAAAGGATACTCGATGTGCGCGACGTATGTTCCGCTGATATTAATTATAGCAGCCCGAGGGAGGGAAACCCATCGCGATATCGATCTCGCGCGCGCGTGCACGTCCGACTGAATTTCTGCGTCCGTTTTAATTTCCGCGATTTTTCGCCCCGCTCCCCCTTCTCTTCCTAGCTTGCTGCCGGAAATGTAAATTAGTCTCCTTGTTCTCCTTGTTCTCCTCGCTCTTTTCGTTTATTTTCGTCTATTTTCGCTTCTCTCTCTCGTACATTTCGCAATTCGTACTTGCTCGGCGACGAATCGATCGAATTCCCTTCTCTTCGGCGAGGTTGCCCTGAAGAGACAACAGGCGGCCGAGGACGCGATCGCCCTTAAAATGGCGAAGGTAGCGACCGGTCAGAAGCTCGATCGGCTTCCACCGGGCAAGATCTTTGGTATGTCTGTGACGGAGCCGAAATCCGCGGTGAATCAGGACGACGACGCGATCCTCAGTGCGACGAAGAAGCACGACGGCACCACCTGCGTGGAGGACTCGAAGGATCCGCCGCGCCCGTCCGCCGTCGACAGCGCGTTATCAGCTCGCCTGCAGAATTGTACCGTACGTATATCCGGAGGACATGCATTGTTCCGAAAGATCAAAGTCTAGAAATTCGGACGAACGTAGGGGAGTCGTTACAATTCCTGTTGTTCTTCTGTTTCGCGCGGAGTAATAAAAGTGGCGACTACATTACCGTTGCTCAAGAAATGGGTGGTGACCGTTATTCGTGAAAAAGATAACGTTTGATAAAAAGTAAACCTTGACCGATGTAAACTAATCGACATGAGACAATGAGACGAGATCCAGTCATTTTTACCCGAATTGTTATCAACTACATCAGCACCGTAAGGAAAACTCCTGGGGCCCTATTCTTCAACTACTTGCGTATACGTAAGTGGCAAGTTTCGACTAATCGCAGTGGAAAATCCCTAGAACCGTATTCTTGACAGTCGCAAGTGAGACGTATACGCAAATTATCATTCGCAACGCAACGAATGCGTAATACCATCCGTTTCTCCCGAAACGTATGCGATACGTTATGCAAAGTACAGAAAGTGGAGTACAAGAGTACACATAGAAGCGCACTGTTATTAAGAAGAAGAATAATTCAACGCTAAGATGGCTAAAAGACAGTGGAAAATAATAGCTGACTTTACATATCCGTAAGAGAAATAATAAATACGAAATTTAGGAGAAAATAGCATATAAATTTCACTGCATTTTAATTATAGAGTAAAATTGTGTAGCAATAATGGATTTAGACGATATAATAGTCAACATACCGGTTATAAAATCACAAACGCGTTAGAACATGCTGAAATAATGGAAGTACCAAGAAGATTTCTCCACATTAGTTCCATATCAGTTCCATATTTTCCACTTTGTTCTGCTGAGCGCAGCCAATTAAAGTTCGTCGTATCGTATTTTTGGTCGATATTCGCAGACAGCACATCTATATTTTCCAATGTTGTCAAACGTAATTAAACGCAACGGAAAGCGTATACGTTTCTTATAGTTGCGAATACTACACAATTAAGTTCAAGAATACCGTGTCAGAAACGTATGCGCATTTTTTACTGTATTCGCGACGTGCGCATACGTAAAGTTGCGTAGATAGATTCAAGAATAGGGCCCCCGGTTTCTCACCATCTTCTCCTTGCATCCCCAGGAGAACTTGGAGACCCGCTCGCGGCCTAGAAGCTTCCTCTTCGACGTGCCCGCCAACAAGCTGGAAGGCTCGAAGGAGGCCACCTCAGTGTCACAAACCTCGGTGGAGACCCTGGCCCGTCTCTTCCCGAACACCAAGTTGTCGGTCCTGCAGCTGGTGCTGCAGCGTTGCGGGCAGGACTTGCTGAAGGCGATCGAGTACTTCGCGAGCGACAGCCTGGGCATCGAGCCGATGTCGTCGAGCGGCCGCGCCTCAGCCTTTCGACCCCCGCGACCCCCGCATACGATCGTCGACAACGTCGTCGTCGGTGAGCAGCAGCAGCAGCAGCAGCAGCAGTCGCAACCGGTCACGGGCACGATGCTGGCCCCGATCTACACCAGCCTGTCCAGGAACGTCTACGGGGACGCCGGTTATTGCTTGTTGAACATCGTGCCCGAGCAGTTCGCCAAGTAATTACCTATTGTTGTCTCATTATTGTCCCCGTCATTCTCGGAAAATTCACTTCAGCGCGTCGCTCCGACGCTACAATGCAGCTAGGGAACTCTCTTCCCACGGACTTCCCACGGTTCGCTGCAAGGTCAAGGGTTGTTATTTTTATACGCGTAAGCGTGTGATTGGATTGACGCTCTTTTGACACGCGTTTCTTGCGTGTTCAGTGTCACGTTCATTGTCATGTTAATCCTTTCACTGTTAGTGGGAAGTATATACTTGCCACTTTTCCTTGATTCAATTTTGCGTTGTAAATCACGTAATTTGGAGGAACTGGATTTGGAGGATTTGAGTTTTCCAGATAACTGAATAGTTGTTCAACATGCTCCAATAGGTTTCTATACTCACTTACTCACTTGTGATTATTTATAACAAATCAAAGTTGAAAAAAAATGCTTTTTTTAGGGGAAGATCGATTCCTCGGAGAGTATTGAATGTATAGAGGTTTGAAATTTTCACCAAATATTTTTCTGATGTACAAAAACATAAATATTTTTCAGTATTTTTTTGCAGGTTATATATATTTTTTTTATAAACAAATATTTCTACAAAAACGGCCGAAATTTGATTTTTTTGCACTTTTTAGCTCTATTTTCCTGGTTTTTTCATTCTGTATCTCCATCTTACCTCCATACTGTCAATATTATTTTACTCAAAAATTAATGTTCAATCTCTAGTAAGCATAAATATGTAGTATTGAACATTTTTCCACATAAATTTTTTCCAGCTCGATCGAGTTCCATCGTCTAGAATCACATGTTCTTATTACGACCTGCTCATTATTTAATAATAATTGAAGTTTTCATTAATTTTGTACATCATGATCGCCATATTGAGTCCGTCATTTTGAATTTTACAAATCTGACTTTAGATTCGTAATCAGCGACCCAACAAACGTAGGACTACCAAATATTTTAATAATTTTCTCAAGGGAAGTTAATTCAGCAGTGAAAGGGTTAAAACTCTTCATACTGGGTGCTCGCCGCGCTCGGCTATATTGGCTAAAAACGTCAGGGGCGAAAAATGAACATTTTCGTGTGCCGTTTCCGAATAAAGAGAAATTTCCAAAAAAAAAAAAAAAAAAAAAAAAAACCATACAAAGCTAAACTAAACTCTGTTGCAACACCCTCGACACCGGAACGTGTTATCGAAGTATTTATACGGTAATTTTGAAATGAAACATGAAACACGCTTATATACGAAGTATAAAATATTCTATTATAATTTTATATAAGTATAATACAGGTAGTACGTATGTATGTACATATATTACATATCTCTTATACAATATATATATGACATATTACACATATCTTATGTCGCATTTCCTCAGCGTCGTCGCGGCTGACAGCACCGGTAGCGGCCTGCCGATCGCGAAGACCGCATCCGACCAGGACACTCTGGCACTCAGCAACTTCCGCTACAGCAATTACTTCAGCCCCGGTGTGCAGCAGCAGCTGAGGGAACACGTGTGCGCCCAAGTGGCTGATCGCCTGTCGGCTCGAACCAGCATACTGCATCACCTACCGCCCATGTTGCCGGGCATTCCTTGCGTACAACCCAATTGCGCGCAGTGCAACTACAAATTCTCGTGAACGTACTCTTGGACGAGTTTCTTTTCAGACGTGTACGCTGGTCTGAACTTTACGCGCCATACACGTAACAAAAGAGACACATTCATTACGCTGAGAACTGAATAACAACCGAGAAAGCCGAACCCTTGCACCGCGATCATCTGCTTTCTCATGTTGAGGAACGACGTGCACACACACACACACATACACACACACACATACACACACACACACATACACACAAACGTGTCTAAGCTTTCAAGAAAGCCTCGGTGTCAGAACGGGTTTTAATATATCCACACTGAGCTGCAATAAAGCCTGAATTAGTGAAAGCTTTGAGGGTCCTGTTTCCTTCCGCTGCGGCCATCTTGACTTACGACATTAGAAGCGAGAAGATATAGTAACCGATATATTCACACACAGTATCATGTAAAATTATAAAGAAACACACAGAATCACGAGAAAAGATTAAAAAGTTAAAAAGTAGTAGCAGGTTGCACATGTCATGTTATTTTATTGATAATTTATTCGATTGTTAGAGGTAAAAGGAAAGTGTTCGGACTACCTTATAAATCTGTTCGATCAACTACAAGTGTTATCTTATGAATATATATATATATATATATATCTTTTCATTTCAACGTATTTTGCAAATACTTTTAACGAGTATTCGCTCGCTTCTAACGTCGTCAATCGGAAATTGCGCGACGAGGAGCTTTTTTCTGAACTTGGTTAAAGTCCTGAATCTTTTCTGGGCGAAAACTCGCTAGTCCCCATCGCTGCTCATCCCCATCGTGTCTGGAATCGACTTGATATATCAAACTGTCGAAATGTTAGATCAGCTAAAAATGATCAACAATGATGATCTATGCACATGAAGAGACTATGCGAACGATTAGAAAGACCAACGACCTTTCGCCTGATGAATGTTAAGGCATCGTTAAAGCTCAGTACAGCTATATATTGTTAAAACGCTTCCCTTGTGTCGCTTTCTATCGACTTCTACCGGAAGTAGAAACGGCGTTATTCAATTCTCCGCGTGACGAAATGCGGTCGCGATAATTGAAGAGAAACGCGCGGCTTTCTCTCTTCGTCTCCACTCGAGGAAAACGGGATCGCGGTAGATACGAGGGGCAAAATCCGTCGTATTTGTCGAAGTAATAGGGCGACGGTAATCTAGTTAGAAATATTCGATCCGCCGTATAAACAACGCTCGGCCGGTCAGTCCCGCACCCCGCTCGAAGCCGCCGCGAGCGATTTACTTTGGCTTTGGTTTTAGGAGGAGAGAAAACACGACGGTCCATCGCGCCGCATCGCGACGCGTTCTCGATTCTCCGGCTTCATCCCTCTCCCCTTTTTCTCTTTCACTCCTCGTGTTCTTCTTCCCTCGGGAAAGGATTCACGGCGTCGTGTCTCGAATTACAAAGCACGCTCGGAGAAACTTAACACCGCTATCGACCGTCGAAATGTAATCCCCGTTTGCTCAGTCGCTCTATCGCTCGGAGAATTGCTTCAGGAGACTCTTCATCAATGCATTCGGGGACTACGACTTCGTAGGCTTACGTTCGACTTGCTTAAACCTATGAAAATATCAACGAATCAAATTATCGGAATCGAGACGATCGCATTCGACAGTGTGTCGCCCGTCACGAATCTCTTCTGACCTCGCGCGGATTTCCCTATGTAGTTTTTCTTCAACTTCCCTAACGCGCGTACTCTTCCTCTCGTCTCTATGCGCGTCGAGCTGAACGCTAAAGTCTCTACTATACATCATGCTGTAATTGGCGAGTGTGAGTCGCAAAGTAATTACTCACGGCATTTTTTTCCTCGCTTGCCGCAAAACGTCGCACAGTTGATCCCGTTGACGTGGATAAGCGTGGACTCAGGTTGTGTTTGCTCCGGGATAGAATGCCCGCACAACGCCCATGTGTGTGTGTGTGTGTCTCGATGTTTTTATTAATTATTCGATAACAGGCACATCAGTTCGCACTAAATGTAATCGCTGCTGCGAGACTTTATCGTCCTTCAGAGCACGCGCTGAATCACAAATGGATGATGAATCTCATGATGAAAACGACGGCGCATTGGGGCCGGTTTGTGAACAGTAAACGAACCGAGAGAGATTCTCACTACTAAATTCATTATAACCTACAAAATTTATTACAATTAAAAAATCGTGGTCTCCTCTCCACGTTTCGGCGGTTAAGTGGTCGAGCGTCGCCGAAAGTAGCGTGTTTGTGTTAATCGAGATGTACGTGGTGTGAAGAGATACGCTCTTGGTGCGTATTCGTACTTACATCGTAATTATACATACATTATATATATATAGATATATACATACACAAATGTTACATCTTTCTCTGTCTTAATTTTATATACAGTTCTCTCTCTCTCTCTCTCTCTCTCTGTCTTTCGTACTTAAGAAAATATTTAAAAAACGCCCATAACATTCGCAAAATTGAATAGCGTTTAAAAACGAAGATGCGGCTTATTCTTGATCATATGCCTGTAAAAATAGAGTTTACGTCATTAAAACAGCGTGAAACGTAGCTAAACGAAATAGCGCTGGCTGGGTTCAAAGGAAAGAACTTAGTGAGCGTTTTGCGTCATGTTGTCAGCAGTTTAATGACTGTTGCGAGATTTTTGGCTGAGCGACACTACCGGTTTGTTTCTCCACCGTGTTTATCAAGCGTTCGCCATTTTTCTCCAGCGTGTTTCCGATACGCGACAAAACGCGAAGTGCCGCTCAGCGAGAAATTAGCAACGCAGCACATACCAGGTTGCTCACCAAGTTGCTTGCTTCTGCTAAACGTAGCCAACTGCGCGCAAAACAACGAAATACAGAGACGAATAGTGATCAAAAAGCGAGAAACGAGACACAGCTAACTTGAACATCTTCAGAAATAATCAGGATTAGGTCAAGGAGTGTAGGTGTGTACACGTAGTAATGAGAACATTATACAGCGATCAGGCACTTACTTGTCGAGATGTTCCCAGAATATCATTAAGGCCGCCCTGTCCAAGTGCCTCTTTGTCCGACTCAATTCGATTACTGTGACCGCCCAACGTGCTACGTTTGCGTCCAATCTCATCTCGTCATACTTCAAATGAAAGGCGCATACTGCGAAAAAAAAGAGGATAATAACAATAACGCATACATACATTGGAAAATGTAATACAATAACAGATCGCGGGATATGAGTGCGACACCGAAATACTTTAGAATTATATTTTTTTTATTCCAAGAGCTTACGAGTGTGTGACTGAATGTAATCGTAATAAAACGTCTAGTCCAACCAATTTAACGTAGAGCATCATTCAAAACGCCGCGGAAGAAAGAATAAGACTGGTTTATATATCACGCATGAATAATCGGTGGTCATACATTGTCTACGGAAAAAATGAAAATCCCACAGTTCGGAAACTGAGACAATTTCTCTCGAAAAGTCGTAACGTTAAAATAATATCCCAAAATACAATTCTTCCGAAATATACAATTGCTTCGGGAAAGAACTCTTATCTCGTATATACATATGTATATCTATCTATTTATAGTGATATCTACTTGGTTACACTGTGCGTTACGTTTTGTATTCGAGAGCTGTGCGAGCTACACAAGCTCGACAATATTTCGACAAAATTGTATTTCGAAAGATTACTTCGGTATTCGGATTCTCGGCAGGTCTGGATAACTAATTAATCAGTTAAAAGTTCGGTTACACAGTTATTAACTTCTAGTCCAACTTGGTTCATTCTAAACGTATTAATCTTCAATTTAAACGAATCATTTCAGGAACGTTGATTTATTAACTTCTTTCAAATAAATAAAAATAATTCATCAACCTTAAAATCATTGCGGATTCGAAGTTAATTAAACAAGGCTTTATATACATATATATATATATTGCTTCGAATAATTAACTTTTAACCTCAACAAGTTAGAATTCGAGTTTTACTTAACTTTTAATCAAGTTAATTTTCGCTTAAATAATTTTTACCTTTTACCAAGTTATAATTCTGTAAGATCTAAACTTAATTTGATTAAAAGCAGATGTTAAAACTTAACCAAGCCTTCAGTATTATGAATTTTCAGAAAGTTGTCCCACTTTTTAAACTTCGAAGGACAATGCATGTATCATCTATCTCTTTTGCAAGGTACAAAATATTTCTATTAGCACACATATGCGCATCAAGACACACCTACAGAGTGTTGTGGTGATACGTACTTTTTGAAAAGATCTCCACCGGATTACCGTCAAACGGCCAGCCTTTGAATTGCCACGCTGGTCCCATCACGAACACGGCGACCACCCTCTCCCAGTCGGCGTTGGTGAGTTTTTGCGGATTGTCGACTACCCGGTACGGCACGGTCAAGCCGCCCTCTTTACGACGCTGCAGCAGCACCTCGTTCTCGCGCTTGGAGCCTTGGGCACGCTTATCCTCGTTGCTGATGTACTTGAGGTCTTGCAGTATATCCTTGGAGTTGTACATGGTGATGAGCGATGTATTGGCGCTGGGAATGATGATGATTGGGGTTCGGCTTGGTCGTTTATTCTGCGCAGCTTGCTGAGGCGTGAGCTTGGCGGCTGAGGTCGGTAGCAGACCAGAGTTCTGTGTGGTGGACGGATTGCTCGGTGGTTTCCTCACGGCCGGATTCGTGCCTTCAGTCACTGACTTGAGCGTCATGCCGTGATATGTGCCCATAGTGTCGATCTTGAAACCCTCAGTCTCCTCTTTTTGCCGGATGAAACGCTCTTGATCGTAACGATTGTAGACGGCCGGCTGCGGTAACGGGCGCATTGGTGTCGAGCGTGGCGTGACCATCGGCGTGGGCACGGTCGGGCCCTTTTGTCGACCCTCCTCGCGCGCCTTGATGCTCTGCAGAATCGCGAAGATATTTTTCGCGAAGATCTTGCCGCTACTCTGCAATATGGTGGCGCGTGTCCGCCATTGGCGTTCTCGCGACACGATGTCCTTCGTGTCGTCCACATCCATGTCGAGGATCACACGCAGATCTGAACCCATACCGATGTCATCGTTCTCCTTGATGGTGGTGCGCTTCTTGGCCAAACGCTTCGCCTTGATCGCGGCGATCTTCTCCACTGACATCGCTTCCGACAGCGATTTGATGTTGTCAACGGTGACCGATGCTTCCTTCGGTGCATCCAGTCGCGCAGCCAGCTGTTCCTTGACCTTTTGCACATGAGTCTCCTCGAAACGCGGTTTCTTCAATGAACCGCTTTCCAAGCCGTCCTCAGCGGCACGTTTCACCTGCGTCGGGATCTCTAACGGTGCTGATTTGTCTATGGCGGCTGATGTGGCAGTCTCGCCATTGAGATAAGCCAGCAAGTCCTTCCTGTCGGGTCGACGTACCACCGGTATGTTCTCCGCGGCCGCCTGCCGCACATACACTGGATGCGTGAGTTGAACATGCTTGAGCAGGAAAAGGAGGCACTCGAGAGTGTAATATTCCTTGGGTGTTCCTTCTTTGCCAGATCTGAATTAGTAACAGGAGAAAATATATAAACACTTTTTCCTCCTTGAAGGAAGAATAACATATCAGGCTGATGATAAAGATCTGTCATGTTTGTCAAATAAAATAGGAAACGAATTATCTAGTTTTGAAGGATTAATAGTCTTTATACGATAAGAGGAACAACATCAATTCGATATGCTTTTACATTTCTATTGTTCAAGTTTAATTTGAAGTTTCTCATGTGTTGTTTCAGATATAATAACAAATGTGAGATCACTTTGTCAGATCAAATTAAAATATCACAACTTATTACAAATCAAAGTACTACAACTTTATAACATATAATTTCACAAATAATAAAGATATGTATAAATTAGAATGTTCATGAGCGAGAGTAATCCAACATGCTACAAACTGGACATTGTGGGATAATGATTAAAAATTGGATATGTCTCTCTCATTTCAACGGTTCCATAATTGGAAGATTATTTGAAAGGAGAAAAAGTCAGATTGATAAAGAATAACACGAACAAATGTATTATCAAGTAACTATTTTAAGGATAAGAATTGTAAAATGATATTAACATCTTCTATGCCACATGTACCACTAAAGGATTGCACGTTTCATTCCAAACTTTCTATTCACACTGCGTATACAACCATGTGTTTATACACGATATGATAATTAACCTATACAAGTTAGTTACTTTAATCGATTAATGAATTAATGAATGAAATAATGAAATTTTTTTTATGATACATCTGCTTTTACTCCAGATATTAAACAGTCCGAATGGAATGTCGCGCAAAAACGGCTCGACATGCTATGTGTTAAAAATTATATACGTACAGTTACATTTCTAAAAAAAATTTCTAAATCTTTATCTGTCGATTATTAAGTATTAAATGTAATCGTTTATCATATAATCGTTTAAACGCACATGGAGGTCGTCTCTCCTATTTCTCTCTCTCTCTCTCACACACCACTCACACACCACACACACACACACACACACGACTCTCATCTTTTCTCTTTAAAAGAAGGTACCGAACAGATTGCGACCGTAAGAAGCAATCTCGATGATAATTAGTCGAACACTTACCCATAAGTTAAATAATTTGTCTTCACATTCTTGGGCCAGGAAAATTCGCCGAATATAATTTGATTTTCCCGTTCAATTATCTCCTTTTTATTGACATTATACTGCCGCAACAAACTTAACGGATCCGCCATCTTTGCTACTGATCACTACCGATGGAAAATCTGGTGTTCCAGGCTACGTTTCGATATTCAATGCTGTTCACCGCTAATACTGAAAATATATAGTCTATGTTGCATATATTGTAGATTGGTAGTGTTGGCAGTGAATATCGGAATGCAGCCGCAGGCGAATTCACATTGGGCAGAAAAGCAGAAAGCAGAAAGGCAGCGTCCAATCAGAAGTCGCGCTAATAGTCTGTCTCTCTCTTTTTATGTTATGCATTTTCGGAAACTACGGAGTCGTAAAGGCTCGTCTACAATAGCTGTAAGAGTAAGGCTGTAGGGCTGTAACGTAAGCTGTCAGCGAATGAAAATATTTCATTTCGTATCTTGCAACCTTACAGCCTTACTCTTACTAGCTAATGTAGACGAGCCTTAAGAAAACAGACAGAACGCGCGTACCACCGACGAGATACTTCCTTCCTTCAATAGATCCTTCAATAGATTCAATAGGCTTGGGCATGGGTGAAAGTAAGCCCCTACGCCATTCTGGACCGACGAGATACTATAAAGACTGTTACGGGATTTAGCATACTAGATAAAATTTAGCATACTAGAGAAAAATTTAGAATAATTTTTATTTTAAATATATACACACATTGATATTCCTTATCATTGCTCTTTAATTACCTCCGGACCCCTTCGGGCCCCTCAAGTTGATACGAAAATTTATCCAGGGCTATCAGTCTTTATATTAGCTGTGTTCCAAAATTCACAGCCAGTGCTGAAAATACATAGTTTGTGTCACGTGTATTATAGATTTTCAGTGCTGGCAGTGAATATTGGAACACAGTCATTACTTCATCAGTGCACGTATACTTTCTGCAGAGAGAAGAAGGAGAGAGGTCACGGGCCATTTTTAGGCCCAGTTCCACAACTTGCTTTAAACGGAGTTTAAAGCTAAACCGATGGTTAAAAGCGATAGTATATGCGCATATACTATTGCTTTTAACTATCGGTTTAGCTTTAAACTTCGTTTAAAGCAAGTTGTGGAATTGGGCCTTAGCCGAGCCCAGTGGGAGGCGCCCTCTGCACAACCGTGCACATCACTACGATGCCAGAGACTGCGTTTACACAGCTTCTAACTTCGGCTTAGTAACTACCGTAGTTAATGCAGTCTCGAATCCGGTCTTCTTGCGGTTTTACGTGACACGCAACTTGTCCTTGACTTTTAGAAACTTATGCCGCATCTCTTCATAGATTTTATTGCGTCTCAACCTTAACCAAACCAAGCCTAAAAAAACACGGGAAAAACCTAAAGATTTCCCTATTGTCATCCCTATTGTATCATTTGTATCCCATCTCCCGCGCTCCTCTCTTCGAGTTATCGCGCTTCATTCTCAAAACCCTGGACTCTATTCCTGAAATATTTTCACAGCACAGTCCCATGACCATTTTTGGACATAAAATTTAGACTTCTGATGTAACCCTTTGAATCCTATCCTTCCATCCGAGCCAAGGTCCGTAAATAGAGACAGAACGAAGTCAGGCCTTCTCACGGCCACCATTTTGGAGCCAGAGAATCTGTGTAATGTATGTGATACTATGTACGTGTAGTATTATGGTTTAATTGTGTGAGTGGTTAATCAGCTGAGCTACGGTCGCCGCCATTTTCGAGCCAAACCGCGTGAAGTGGATGAGAAGACTTGATTCTCCGTCTCTTTATTTACGGATCTTGATCCGAGCTATCGACTTGAAGTAGACCTCAAAGCTTCTTCAGTTCCAGACACACTCGCGACTTGCACAAATCGAAATCCCCCCTTGGTTCTATTGCGAACATCTCTGTAGTATTCTGTAGTATTTTTTGTAGCGACTTGGTTTTGTGAATAAACTTCTCTCATAAGTATAAATACATCAGCCGCTCATTGGTATTCTCTACTTTCATTACATTGAGAATCCCGCGTAACATAACAGCTGCGCAATTTCTAAAAGAGCATAATACAAATATTAGTACAAAACATAATATTCAACAAAAAATGTATAATTCTATTAATTTATAAACCACATAACAATTTAATTTGCATAAATAATTTGCACTAATATTCGTATTATGCCTTTTTAGAAATTGCGCAGGCGCAAGAAGACAGAGAGAATGCGCCTACACTTCCTGCTCTTTCTCACTTTCGTGACCAACCTTTTTTCTCTGTATCTTATCTAGATGAGTTTCTTACTTCATGGTGTAGATCGTAACCTTTGAATGAAGTAATAAACTGTTAGGATGGTTGATGAATCGACGAAGAAAACTTTGAGTAATATACCTTTGTTACAAACGAAAGCCGGACCTAGAGATAAGGATTTATGGGTGCAAAGATTGAAAGAGGAGTATCAAGCTCTCATTAAGGTAGAATTTTTTTTTCTTAGAGATTATAAATGTCACTTCCATATGGACGTGTGTGACAGATGATCAATTGTGATTGCTTCGATTAAAGTGACTAGATGTAGTTAACAAAAATTAACCAATTACCATGATAAGTTATAAGAAAACGAAAAAGAATTTTAAAATAATTTTAATCGTTTAAATTAATAATTATTAGTATCGAAATGTATTATGATTGTCTTTTATAGTATGTTAAAAACAATAAAGAGGCAGACAATGATTGGTTCAGGCTGGAATCAAACAAGGAAGGCACCAAGTGGTTTGGCAAGTGTTGGTACATCCAAAATTTCTTGAAATATGAATTTGAAGTAGAATTTGATGTAAGTAAAAATTTTCTCAGTTCATTTTATGTAAATAAAAAAAGATTATGTTGATGAGCTATTTATATAATCTTTTACTCACTTAGGTGTGTTAAAATTATAAAGCTATAGAGAAAATTTAATACATAAAAAATTCTCTTAACAATCTTGTTCTTTTCTGATGTTAGATTCCTGTTACATATCCTATGACAGCACCTGAAATTGCTTTACCAGAATTAGACGGTAAAACTGCAAAAATGTACAGAGGTGGCAAGATTTGCCTCACTGATCATTTCAAACCATTATGGGCTCGCAATGTCCCCAAATTTGGCATTGCTCATGCTATGGCTCTTGGTGTAAGTGAAACAAATATATATATTATACAACATATTAATGATTAAACATCTAATTCTTTCTGTTTTCTAGAGGTATCAAAGTATAAATTTATTCAATTAAGATCACAACATTCTCATATATAAGATGTAATAAACCTCAATTAAGAACTTTTTTTAGCTGGGGCCATGGTTAGCAGTTGAGATCCCAGAACTTATAGAAAAAGGTATTGTAGTTCATAAGGATGAAGAGAAGAAATCCTGAATATAATATATATATATAGGAAGCAAACAATTCTTCAGCAGAGTACATTTATGAAAACAGTAAGAAAATATAATTGTTGATAAGTAATAAGTTATTTTTTATGCTTATCATTTAAGAGGATTTACACTACGTTTTATATTTTACACATGATAGAGTATTTACATTCAGCGCGCAATCAATAAAAAGCTATTTATCATCGTCGAGTTTTATTTTTTTGCTGTCCTTGATGATCTTGTCAAGCTTGTACAAGTCCTTGAGCGATACCTCCCCTGTACCTCTTTCAAGGGGTTTTGGTTGAGACAAATCTGATTTCCATCCCAACATGTATATTACCTGAAATGTGGCAGGAACAAACGGAGTATTGTCTTCTTTGGTTTTTCCATAGAGTTCTCGGTATATAGAAGCAGCTGCAATCAGCGTATCTCTTGATAGATGCAAGTTACGATTCTTGGCTGCATTATTCTCAGCCATTCCTGGATAAGTAAAAATTCCTCACATAAAATGTAATTCATCTTCCCCGTGTGTTTTACTTTTTTATATAAAACTAAAACTAACTTCTTATTCACATAAAGACATAAATTATACTATCCTAACACAAATCAGTTTCTATAACAATACATTGTGTTGGTCATCCCTTACCTTTCAAATCCCACATGAGTTCAAACATACTTGGATAACCGATAACTAGCTCATCAGTATCAATAGTTAACATGGTAAAATTTGCTCTCGTTAATAGAGATCCAATATCCCTGATCTCCACGAATGGTGAGATATGTGGTGAGATACCTCCATATCTCTCCAGTTCAGCTAATTGCAAGGAACTTCTATATTATCAGAATGAATGCCAGAAATAATATAAAGATGCCAGCACGAATGCAAGATTCCAAGCGACATTTGATGTAATTTTCAATTAAATTTTTGTTTACCTCAGCTCATAGAGCGTTTCACCACCAAACATAGCTGCCAAGAACACACCGTCATTCTTTAAGCTATTGTTAATATGTCTGAAGCATCCTGGAAGATCATTGACCCAGTGGAGACTCAGACAACTAATCACCATGTCAAAACTGTTGTCCTCAAAGGCAGGATTTTCCTCATCGATGACTTTCTTTGTGACTTTTATATCCTCCATGGTCTCAGCCTGACGTAAGAAGCTTGGACTCATATCACTCAGTACCAGTTCTTCCACTGATTCGCTGAGAATCCGCTTGGACACATGACCACGACCACAGCCCAAGTCCAAGGCTCTCTTGAACCTACGTTTAATGTCAAATATCCTATCGGCCAGTCGATCACCAACCTCATCCTTGATGTAATCGTAAAGTTTGATGTCGGCGTCCCTGGCGGCACGTTCGCGATGTAGCAACTTCGCGTTCCTGTCAAAAACGTTCATCGGACTGTCGGGAGGTAGTGCAGACATCGGCGCGATGTTCAGCACATTGCTAGAATTGTATTTGGACTTTAACAGGTTCGATTGATTGTGTAGCGCATGCAAGTGAGTCCTACTTGCGCGGTTGTATCGCAACAAGAATCGCGAGGTCATCCTTACGCGTGTTCACCGTGAGACCGAGCGTCTTACACCGTCGACGTCGGTTCGATACTTCGTGACACAGCTGGTACTGACTTTATCAATGCCACGTAGAAGCAGAAAACTCTTTATTCTGATAAATATTCGTTCTGAATTTACGCAGCATCAGCATCGCTCTCTCCCTTTTCTGACACTTCTCATGCGATTGGAAGAGAATTGGGGAAAATCCGATTCTAACCTGCGAAAGAGACGATAACAGCATCGATAAGATGCTATTGAAGATTCATCTTCGTATCAAACAAAACTTCCTCATATACGGTTTCGAAGTATTAACAGCGACAACATTCAATGCATATAATATTCTAATGTTTCAGCTGTCGTGTGAGAAACATTTTTGTTAAAACCAATGTCATATAATTCACGACTATTTCCCATTTCAGGATCATATGTACACATTTCCATGATCATCATTCAGCCTTGTCCAGAGCAGCAACTCGCTGAAGAGGGCGCGTCACGTGGGATCCCGTCGGTCGTGCCGCCACTGTGTCTGTACGACGATCAGCATGATGACGACGACGACGACGACGACGACGACGTCGTCGCGCAACCACCGTCAACCACGCAGAATCGTACAGAATCGGAAGACATGATGTCGCCCGACGTACTTATCAGCGCACCGTGCCGCATCGTTCGCGAGGATGTAAATAAAGCGTCGCTCAGCTGACCAGCTCGCTCCGAGTGAACAACGCGCCGTCGTGAGACTCGCAATATGCGTGTAGCCGATTATTGCGCGACAACCACCGGGCCGACGAGCAACCAAAGGTGTGTGTATGTGTGTGTGTGTGTAAGCGACAGGATCTCCCGCGAGAACGGGGCCGCATTCCGAGCGCGTTCTCGACGTCCGTCGACGGCGTATGTTCGCGCATCGACCTCGGCCGTTCACTGCGAGACTCGCAGCTCGAGTCGCGCCGAGTCGCAGGCATCTCCTCGCACTCGCGCGCGTTCTACGACGCGTCAGTGTGTGACAGTTGGTCGACAGTTGTTTTGCACACGGGACGGGGGATAATGTCAGTCGCGCATCGGCTGCTCCGGACGATCGCGCGTCCGGATACGCGTTCGAACGGAATCGGTGAGATGAGAATAGCGAGCGAGACGCGATCGATCTTTGTCGCGTGGTAGAGGCTGACGAAAGGCGAGCGAAAAGGCCGAAGCGATTGCGCCCCTCGATGTCGGGAAGGAGAGGTGAGAGTGTTTTGTTTTCGAACCGCGCGAACCAGCACGGGGTTAAAGTGTTTCGCGCGAGTGCTCTTTTGTATCTCGCTCTCTCGCACGACACGTCCGCGCTGCGGTACGTCCGTGCGGAGGTCGTTTTGGATCTCCTCAGAACCTCCTGAGACTCGCCTCGGAGCATTCCGGACATGATTCCGGGACATTTTGTGCTGTTGCTGCGGCTTATTCGTCTCTGTGTAGTAGACACGGGTCTTTCGTATTCCGCATACTGCTATTAAATTTATGCCACGAACGAAAAGTCGGAATCTACGGAGTATGCGGATATCTGGTCTTTTTTGTATACAAAACACCGGTGATTATTTACAGATTCATATTTGCTTTGGTTTCCGCTGTAAATGTGCTGTCAGTATATTAATTCGTGCGTGAAAAATAAATTTAACGTTCCGCGGTTCTTTCAATTCTTACAAAGAGAATCAAAATTCCGACTAGAGTTTACATCTGTTTCCACTGGCGTAAGAATTCATTATTATCTTTCCGCTTGGGCTCCTCCGCTTGCTCCCTCGTTTCGAATTATCAACGCTACTATTTGATAGACGCAAACACGAAAGAGCTCTCGATAAGTTGCTGTCGTCGCACGGGGAAGTCTTAATGATGTATTTTTGTTCTCGTTATCTACTCCCGTGTCTCCACACGTCTTCCGAGATAATTACGGTGGGCACAGTTTTGCTGAAAACGGCTGTTAAACTGTTGCGCCGCAACACCACTTCTACAATCGCTTTTGTTATCTTTACAGATGAACGTTCCATTGTATGGCGTTCTCGGAGCTGCAGCGACTTTGCTTGCTTACATCCTCGGCATAGGAACAGTCGTGAAAATCTTCGTCTGTCTGCTTGCATTAATTTTAGGGTAAGGCAAGAAAGAATCTCTAATCGTAACGAAAGAAAAAAGGAATAAGATATGTGTAAAAAGTTAAACAGATCTCTAATGAGCATCTAATGAGACACGCATACTCAGATAGGAGAAGTGTGAAGGAAAAAGGATATTCTTTTGTTGCAGGGCATTGACCTGTATATATAGAACGTACGTTCCGAATCTCGACGATGTAATTGAGTCTGAAAGGGAAGACTTAACTAAGAAGACTGAAAAGTTCCGACAGGTGAGTGAAGGATTTTGGAACAATGCGATGTCTGTCCATTCCTAATATAACAATAACGTTCTACTTAATGTTTTCAGTATATATTAGATCTATCTAAGGAAAGGATGACATTTACATTAGACAGGAGAATAACTGGTAGTCGTATCATTGATGAATCCCTGCAAGTACATACTCAATATTTATAGAACAATGACGAATAATCGTCTTCCTCAGACTTTGGTTATGTGGAAAATAGCTTCTAACATGCTACCCTCTTCTATTTTAGGAAATCTTGGATTTTATTATCAGAGATTATGTGGAGCCGTGGTACACCGTTATTACGGACGATGAGGAATTCATTTATTCTGTCCGAGATACTGCTCAAAAAATCGCCATTAATGTCGCAAATCGGTATGTGCGAATATTCTCATATTTCCATATATGTTCGCGTTGACACCAGCTCTTTCCTGGGTGTGTATTGTGCTTTTATCTCTACTATAAAATAAAACATTCGTGAAAAAATAGATATTCTGTTGGTAAAATTGGTCACTTGAATACAGCTTGAGTTTGGCAATAAAATTACGTTTGGCAATAAAGATTTGCGTTTACTTGATATACTTTTTAACATGTACTATAATGATATGATGTTGCAATGTTCTTCAAGCAAAAATAATCTATTCACATTTCGTCCGTACACACACACACACACACACACACAGAGTTGCTAAAAGCATCAAGTATTATTCAGGAAAAAAATCATGAGCTGTGTATAACGAGATTGTGATTGAAACATGTTCGACTTATCGCTAATTAATGTCGATGCACAAAACAGGGTCAAGAGTGTCGATTGGATACCCTACTTGACGACGCGACTCGTCGACGATGCAGCCTCGCATGTGCGGCTGTATCGACAAGCGAGCGCAAGAATGAAGCAAATACGATCGACCAGGATGCAAAAGGGTAGCGCGAGCTCGAGTACGTCGGGCGGCACGCCGAAGAAGACGCCCACGCACCGACGTAACAAGAGCGAGACCGATGTCTCTTGGTACTCGCAGTCCAAGTTTTACATACCGAACCTGTCGTCGCTCACCGAGCCGATCGAGGCCGGCGACGAGAAGGAGGACGAGTCGTTAGAAAAGATATTCTTCGATCTTGAGGTGCAGATGGAAAGTAATCTGATATGCAGGGACCTGGTGTGCACCAACGACACCCAGGAGCTGGAATTCTTGGGCGAGATATCGGAGATCTTGCTGTACCTGGTCCTGCCCAAGGCGGACTTCGATTGTTTGACTGTGAGATTTATCTTAAGGGAGTTGTTAGTGAACGTTATAATCAGACCGTTGTTGGATTTGTTCTCTGATCCTGATTACATTAATCAGGCATGTATATGGCTGGTGAGTACGAGAGAGTACAATACACTTTTTATAGAGCAATCTTGCGATCGTGACAGATAAAATTATTGTTCATCGAAGAAAGAAAGACCTCCTATCTGGCCGCGAGTTTTATCGGAAAGAATCGATTTAACTTATCAATCTTATTGTGCAAGTGTATTATTCTTTAGCAATTCTATGCAAAATACTAATACCCCCGCCTGAATGTTTGCGTGTACGTGTAACACTTTGATTTCTTCGTTTTAGTGTACTAAGGAGAGTGGCTTACCAAGTGATGTCTTTTTAACAGTGATTAGAATAACGGATAACTTAGACGAATTAATGGCGACGAAGAGTATAGTTTCTAAAGAGATAGCACACCTGCGCTCGAAAGATTCGGGCGGCGAGGGCGATCTGTCGGTGAAGCAGCAGTTAAACAGTCTACTCTACGTGAAGAAAATCCTGGAGACGAGAATCATCGGTATGCAGGAAGGTCTGGAGACAGAGACTGATGGGATCGGCGCTCAGCCGGAATGGAATAGATTGCTCATACCTGGTCAGAAGCTGGTGAACTTGCCGTTGGACGAGCTTCTGAAGAATAACATCGCGCTCAGTTACTTCATCGACTACATGACTTCCATCAACGCCGAAGCCTACTTGTTCTTCTATCTGAACATCTACGGATGGCGGGTCTCGGCCGAGCAGCAAATATCAGACATGGAATTGCAGAAGATACAGAGCGGTCAGTCCGGCGGAAGTGGTGGAGCCGGCGTTAGGCGTAAGAACGCGGATTTGGACAATTTGAAGGAGGCAGCGACGAAGATCTACCAGCAATACCTCAGCGACAAAGCGTCGCCGAAGCTGCAGCTGGACGACGCACTGGTGAAGAGTCTGTTGACGAGAATGAGGACCGAGTCGGTGAAGGAGATTTGGTTCGACGAGTTACGCAATTGCTGTTACGAGAAACTGCAGAACGAAGACAGGTTCTTGCCCGGCTTCAAGCGCTCGTTGGCTTACATCAAACTACTGGCCGAGCTGGACCTGTTGAAGGATCCAGTGTCTGAGGACGATACGAAGTCCTTGGACAGTATAAGTCTGTCCAGCACGAATAACGAGTTGGATACTTTGGAGGAGTTGTCGGAGACGTACAAGACGTCCGACGACTCGAGAATCACGGTCGCAAAGGAAGGTGCTACAAAATCAAGCTCCGCCTCGAATTTGGCGAGCATGGGCGAGGTGAGCGAAGGTAGAGCGTCCGATGAGGTCGATGCGGACGTGGGTAGCAGTCTGCGAAGCACAAAGATCGCATGCAGAAGCTCCGCCACGGAGATTGATCAATTCGGCGAGAAGAAGGACATCTCGTTCTATGTGGAGACGAATGCCGAGCAATTCGTCAAGCTGAACGAAAACGATTACGATCAGAATGCGATCAAGAAGCTGCAGCAGGGTCGCTTCGAGATCACCGCGACGATAATAGAGACCGGCATTGTGAGCGATCGCGGGAAAACCTACGGGATCTATGCCGTGGCCGTGACGAAGAACTACGATTCGGGCTACAAGGAGAAGTGGCACATATACAGGCGGTACTCTGACTTCTACGACCTACATCAGAAGATCAAGGAGAAGTATTATGACCTGGCGAAGATACCGTTCCCCGCGAAGAAGGCGTTCCACAATATGGAGCGCACAGTGTTGGAGAGACGAATGTTGATGCTGAATGCTTGGTTGTGCCAATTGACGAAGCCCACGATCGTGGAAGGCCACATGGGCCTGCAAAATTTGCTGCTGGCTTTCTTGGAGCAAGGGGACTACGACAAAGGAGTCACTGGTGGCCAGATTTCGAGAACGGTAAATTCATGGAATTCTGGTTTATTCACTTATACAGGGATAAAGAAATGTGCGTAACGTACGGACAGACGTTCGTTATTTTCTCTTTTTTTTTTCTTTTCTTTTTATTATTCGTCCTCGCACGTTAGGAATGTTATTGGATCAATTTCACAACCATCTGCAGCAGTTTCTCCAAATATATACGATACAAGGATGTTATCAGCATTGAAAGGAAACTCGAGCATCGAATAAAAGTTGTGACATTGTTATATGGACGAGTTTCAAAAGTAGATCTGTACTTTAGGAACACTTCTACGTCAGCGAATTTTCTTTGCACATGACATCCTTATTCAGAATGATCACTTCCGCAAGTATCCGATCTTGCTCATTTTGTGTACGTGTGCGTGTGTACTTTGCAGATAGACACTTTAATGAACCCCCTGAAGACTTCGATGAAAAGCGTCACGCAGGCGGTCAAAACGATGCCGGACAATATGTTGAGCACGGTGGATGGTGTGATGGACAATCTGAGCAAGTTCTTCGGCAATCCTAAGAAAACGAGTATTTTTTACGAGAATACCAAAGTCGGCGCCGGTCTCGACACGGAGGTACCGTTTCCAAGTTCTCAGTTATCGCAACCTTACACATTTAGAAAGATGACCAATATTCAAATCGTTCAACGCGTGCGGTTTTCAGACCGACGACAACATCCCGTTGCGCATTATGTTGCTGTTGATGGACGAAATCTTCGACTTGAAAGTGCGAAATCAATGGCTGCGAAGGCGGATTATAACGCTGCTGCGGCAAATCATTCGAACGATGTTTGGAGACATAGTAAATAGGAGAATAGTGGAGTACGTGTCGTTTTTGACTAGCCCGTCGAAGGTCGCGGGATATCTGCGTTTGTTCAAGTAAGTAGCCGATGTTGACGTGGACGAGATGTTTGTACAGGTGCGGCGAGCGACGCTCGTCAGAGAATCCGTCATTAAAATTTCGCTTGGTAATGACGAGATTCGCGTGATAATTCATGCACTTTAACGTTCGTCCGCCAAAATTATTATTCGTTCTCTCAAATCAAATTCTCTCTGTTGACACTTAAACTGAATATAAAAATAGAACACCAAGTAAGATAATCGCATTTGGCAGGAATAGCTTCTGGCCGAATGGTGTGAAGGCCGAGAGTAGGCCACCGCGAGACACGGAGATGAAGAACAGAACGCGAGTGGCAGCTAAAGTCGCCCTGCTCTCTTGCCTTTCGGACGAGTTGAAACATATCATAGGCAGCGAGACAACGAGGCGCGGGCTGTTGAGAGTGTTTGAGCTCTTTCAGCGACCGGTATTGAACAGAAGACTGCTGTACGTGCTGCTGGAGGGTGTCGTAGAGACCCTGTTTCCGCAGAACGATCTAGTGGCAGTTTTCAGAAAACTTTATTCGGTGTCGCCGAGAGTAAGGAACAAAAGCAAAGGGAAGTCTTGATGGAAGAATAGGACGGAATGATGTCCGGATGCGACGGCCGCGAGAATGGCCGCATGATTAGTTTGGGACGATTCTCGCGGGAAATTAGAAATTTTACCGACTCCCGTCGGCGGTCTTGGAATAAAGAGATCACGTCACCTCTTGGAATAGTTTAGAGAATTACGATATTAAGAAAATACTTTTGCGCAAAGTATGTCCAACGTAACAGAAACATCTTTCAAATATCTATGTGTTCGACCCGTTGGGCTCTCACTCGATTTTAATCCTTACTCTCTCTCTCTCTCTCTCTCTCTCTCTCTCTCTAGGACAAAATGTATTTGTACAAATTGATCAGGTGCTATTTCTTCAACGACGCGACCAATCACATATCTTTCGGCGTCTTTCGTAGAATCATGAATATTCTCAACGCTATTATTTTAGAAGAAATGTCGCTCAATTTCTTTGGTCTTTTTTTTAACAATGTAGCAATTGTGATGTCTGACTAGCAGTTGTACTTAACGCATATGTGCAAGGTTAATAGAGACTGCGAACCGACGCGGCCCGTCTCCATATATGGCGAAAAAAAAATGCAAAGTGCAAGCTTATTAGTCGCGGGCCTTTTGATACTCAGTTAGATACCTATCGGGATCTGTCACGATCAATCTTGAAAGTCGGCCGTGTTTCAACCGGCCGGTTAGAATACGCTAGTGGTTCGTTCGAGCTCAATGGGTCAATAAGTCCTCAGTCGCTAAACTTATTGAGATGTTACTGTGGATGTCGTCGTTCTCTCATTCTCTCTCTTCAAACAGTCCTCTGAGCTGCAGTGCGAGGTGCATACGTGCCGCCATTGCAACGGACAACCGCCGCCTAGTTTTCAACAAGGAACAAAAAACAAAAGATCAGAAGATGCTTTCATATCTCGATTATTTGTAATACATTCAAAGATGCACACGTTGGAAAAGTTTCGTGCCACCAACAATTCGCGCCGCTGCCAAACAGATTTGCGCACGTAGTTTAAAATACCTAATAAGTAAGATGATACTCTTGTGTTTTTAGGAAAAATAAATTCGATATCTCATTGATGCACTGAAAAACTTAAACTCTCGAAAGAAAAGAGGAGGAAGAAATATAGCGAGCCGTGATTTACCTCGCTTGGATTCTCACACACACACACTGGATCTCTCGACATACAAATCGTTCTCTCTAAGTATAATAACGAGAAGAATACCTTTCCTCGCTCCCGCCAAATACAGCTTGTCCCATTTCCTCGAGATAAACAACACCAGACAAAAATCGTTGACCGTGCAGTCAATCAGAGAAACGCAGAGAGAGAGACGGTGCGGAGCTTTCTCAGCGGTATGCAGCTACTCGTGAAGTGATCTAGTGGCCAAAAAGTATATACTATACAGATCGAAATTGCCTGCATCGAGCCTGCAACTCGGGCCGCTACTCCCGTCGGTATTAACGTAGAATAACGCAAGATGCGAACTCTTTGTGATTACCTCGTAGGAGAATGCAATAAGATCCACGGAGACATTCCATTTGCATTTTAAGCTACACCGGTTAATTAGGCAATTATCCTTTTTACAACTATTCCTTGAAACACACGCGACACGTAGACACGTAAAAAGAAGGAACACTGTGACATCACGCAATCATACACGTACATCACGATTACACATCACGATCTACTTAAGTTCCGAGCGAGCGAGCGAGCGAGCGAAACGCCGCGATCAATCTCTCTAGGCGTATAATTTATCGCAGACGTTAACTTAATTTATACACGTTGGATATTACCCTGAAAGTTTATTTTTGTGCCATTCGGGTGCGCGAGTAGTGTCTATATTTATTTTTAGTGAGAAACAAGGAAAGATTATACCCTTTTTCCAATAATTCCGATGACGCGTTCTCAGCATCAGAAATCACAACAACAGAGATCCGATTGATTACCTTCGTTGAAAGTGCAAAACGCAAAAATGTATAAAATTGTTGTATATTACTCTTTCTCTCTCTCTCTCTCTCTCTCTTTCTACCGTACGTCTGTATATAAAATTATTTCTATCGTGTTAAAACGCCATACTTACCATGTTTACTTATTAAAGGAACTATTTATAAACCGGTTGGCGGTTCTCACTTTCCTCCCCAAACGGGTCCCCGTGTGACGACCGTGTGATGTTTATTTTTATAGACTACGTGCGACACACGTGATGTGTGCGCGAAACTGCCGATAACAATCCTTTTAATAGTTCCCTGTGTCTTTGTCGAACTATTATTCGCGTTTATCACGTATTTTGCAGAAAGTACACTAGAGGTAATGTATATCTGGATCAAAAAGAAGAAAAAAAGAAATACGTCGAAGCAAGAATCTCTCAGCGCGCTCAAAAAATTTGATTTAAATTCTGTTGAATTTTTCATGAAGACGAAAGCCACAGTTGGGTGGAAACGTAGTTTTGAAATCAATTTTGCCTCGAATCTTCAGGTCGATTGATTTTAATTGGAAACTCTGAAGATGACATCAACGTGAGAACAGTTTAAACGATTTGAATATGACAGATCGATGTATCGCAACGCGCGCAGCTCAAAATACATATATTTATAAATTGATCTCTCCTTTTTTCGAAGAAGAGAGTTACGAATTCGCGAAGACCCCCGCGATCGTCGTTGCATCGAACACTCGAGCTCCTCCGGCTCCGAGTCTCGGAGGAATCGTCAGACTAGTCCGAGTGGTCTAATTACCGGTGTTAGAGCGCAGGCAAACTACGAGTGGAGGCTAAGTGAATATTTCTGGTTGCGAGCTTAGTTAATCCCGGTCGGCGACTGTCGGTTAGAACAGGATACGATTGTCGTGTCGGGCGCGTGAGCTCTCGTCGCTTTGTCGCCGGCTAAGAAGGGAAAGCAAAGAACGCGCGACAATGGAAGAGAGGGTGTTCGAAAACAAAAGAAGTTTATTACCGAGCTTGGATCGCCGCCCCGAAACCGTAGGCAAAAGGGGATGCTCGACAGAGAGGGTCGGTGGGAGGGGGCCAACCAACCCGTGGTTCCGCCACGAATTCACCCCCGTCGTACTTTGTACCGCTTCTCTCTTAACTAGAGCTTCATGAGCCGACATAGTCTTTAGTTTACGATGATACGAAGATATAGAGGACGGAAAGTCGACCATTTTTCCGGATTTCCTGGCGCAACAAATCCCACCGGAGATGCAACTGTGACCTCGCCTCTGCGGGGCACGACCGATGGAACTAGGAAGAATGGAGGAGAAAATCGGGAGACGGATGTGTATATCGGAAAAGATAACTCGGGGATGAATTCCGAGTGTTCCTGCTTCACAGTTCCTTCTTAGGACTTTTTAGGAAGAGTTCTCGCGACCGACTCTTCCCTCCGGAAAATAACCGAAATAATCTAAGACACGCGAAAGCGATTCCGCTGAACACCCTGATAGAAGCGATCCGCCCCGAGGATATCGTCCAGCTCATCCCAACTTTCATTAACCAAGCTGGATAGACAATTGAAAACTCGGCAATCTTGCAGGGGGACCAGGGGCGCACTCAAGGAAACGACCGTCTGAGATCGTTCCGTTCCTCCATTTTTTTATAAATACACTTAAAAAAAATATAAAAAAAATATATAATAGGCAATTGTAAAAATTAATATACCTATGTGATAACTCCAAATCAAATTGTTATATATCTCAATAATATAGGATGATCACTAATTTATGCATCGGCACACATATATCGTATATATATATATATATATATATTACCCTCTCACTTGAAATAATATAACCATCGTCGAGCATGTCTGCACGAAAAGTTTCTGTGCGCGTCCCTGACAGGGACATTCTGCCGGGGCGCAAAATAGCGTCGAAGGGGGGTGAAAGAGCGAAGATCGTCGGAAGGGCGCGCGGAGGGAGCGTCGAGGGCTTCGCGCGTCGTAACGAGGAAGGGGTACGCGGAGAAGAGGGCATGAGCGGCGAGAGGAAGAGAGAGAGAGAGAGAGAGAGGGGGAGAGAGAGAGAGAGAGAGAGAGAGAGAGAGAGAGAGAGAGAGAGGAATAAGGAAAAAGAGAACAGGGAGAACGAGGACGGGAATAAGGGGACAGAAGGAAAGCGAGAATAGGGGCCATTGTGCGAAAAGAATCAGGTACCGCTCGCGTATGCGTTTTCAGAAGGGGGTTCTCGCCCGTGGCGTGTTGCGGCCCCCGGGCTCTCTGTCAGAAAGAAAGGGGGTGGGAGGTCGGGAGGGGAAGTAGCGGCCATACGTGAGCGACGTGACTACCGTCGAACGAGCGGCCCTCGCTTGCTCTAACGAAAGAAAATCGATATGCATGATTCACGCACGCGAGAGAGCGTGCCGCAGGGGGTTGGAGGGGGAGACAAACGGGGCGCTTTTGCGAGGGGAGCAGAGGGATGATGAGAGCAAGAGAGAGAGAGAGAGGGAGAGAGGGAGAGAGAGAGAGGGAGAGGCGGGGGGAGGGGGAGAGAGGGAGAGAACGAGAGAGGGGCAAAAGAAAGTCGAGTGACGAGGAGGGAGAGAACAAGGGGGAGGAGGGGGTCTCTGGCACAGCGCACTTCTCTCTTCCCTCGGCCGCCTCGCTCTCGAAGCGCATGGGGGACGAGCCTCCGGGTGTACGACGTGGGACACGTACAGTATATACGCACGGATACGCGTGCATGACACGTACACACACACACACACACACACACACCCTCACACACGTAATTCTATACGTAGGTGCGCTCGCTCACGCGCGCGCGCCCGCGTTTGTGACGGGAGGGGTATACCCCGCGATGCTACCCCCTCGGTCACTCGATCAGTCGTGTCCGAGGTACCCGTCGCGCTGTCGTAAACCGTCGCGCACACGTCGTCCCGTCTCTCACCGCGTGTTTTCTCGCCCGGCGGCGGCTACGCGCGACTTCCGGTTAACCGAGTTTTCGCCACCCCGCGGCCGGCTGCGCGCGCGTGTGCATATACGTGCGTATGTGTGCGTGCGTGCGTAAAATGGTGTAATTTCGGTGAGCTTATTATTATTCGACGCCGTGCGCGGTAACGCGCAAGAAGCAAGTCTTCCTCTCTCTCTCTCTCTCTCTCTCTCTCTCTTCCGCGTGGGAATCGCGTCGCGTTCGTTCGTTCGTTGTCGCACGCGCGAAGAAATGGTTTTCGCGCGTCTGCGGATCGTCGTCATCGTCGACTGGAGCTCACCGAAGTTACACCGGTTCTCCGATCCCCGCTTCTCTTCGCAACTGTCTCTCGACGTGTCCGCGAAATCACGCACGCTTCGAGCTCGCGCGGAAGCCTAGGAAAGCCTCGCGTTTTCGCACGAAGCCGGGAAATTGCGCGCCGCGGAGGCTCGTCCAAACAAATCCGATCGTTGTTCGCGAGTCGGGCGAGTATGGAAGTGCACGTGAAATACATCCGACGACGTCTGCGAGACGTCACCTGCAATTAGCGTAGCTTGTGTCGAGGTATTTCAACGTGTGTACAGACGAATGAGATTTAACGTCGTCAGCGTCGACCGACGCCGCGACAATCGGCCCTTCGATTGTCCGCTGAAGCGCATTCGATCTTTTCGAGAACTCGGACTTCCAGAGTCCGAGTGCGTTCGCACACGACGACCTGCTGCACCTCAGGTTATTCCTCGTGATCGGCAGGAATCTGTAACTGCGACGGAATAATTCGCGGAGTACGCGGAGTCGAGACAACGCGACGCGACGCGACGCGCCGCCGCGTGAACGCGACTGCGCGCTTTTCCACCACGAGGCGTAGTAACGACGGCGTAAGGATGAATGGAACTGCGGAGGGTGAATCGGATCGCCCCGCGAGTGTCGTTCGCGTCGTTGCAAAACACGCGCGGGCTCAATGAAAATTATTTCAATGAATATCATCGGCTTCGGGAGTGGGAGGAGTTTCGGGAGGAGCTCCGCACGAGCTCTTGTTTGTACTTGTCTGATGAACTGCGGAAGCAGCACTGCGCGCTTTGATCGCTCGCTAAAATCAGTATCCGCGGATTAATGAGGAGTGTAACAAATATTGACAACGCCCGATAGCATATCGATGACGCGATGACTCACGCTGCTCGAGACTCGCGGGGATTCGCGTTTTTATTCCAGCTTATGCAGCGTGGGGCCGATGGGGACGAGAATCTTCACGCACATTTCCGTTCACGCGTTAGATCCCCGTTAGATCGTACAAAGGACTCCGGCTGCTCGAAGGACCCCGCGCAATCGTTTTACACGCTCGCTCTCGGAGCTCGCCGGCTCGTCGAGTTACAGCGCTGTAATGGGATTACAAGAGGGTCGATTACGCGCAAACAGCGAACGACAGCGGTCGACGAGTTTTCCGACGGTATGACTGAGAAAAGCCAATTCAGGGTTGCATTTCGTTTTCGGCAGAATTTCCCTCGCAAGCGAAAAGCGACCGCGTTTCTTATCCCTCGCTCAGTCCTCGCGTGATCCAACCCGGACCTTGTTTAAGGATTAATCGCACGTAAAGTTGAAAAGCGTCACAGAAGGACCGAGAGAAAGAGTCGACTCGCTCTTGTTAGCTCGTAAATAAACAACCGACGGATAAAAACGCGATGACGGATGAAGGGTATAGCGTGACAGATAAAAGGAGGGGAACACGGTGAGGCGGCGATATATCGAGCCGAGAAGGATCAAGGATTATAGTCCGTTTGTCGAGAAGTCACGGAATAGTAATCGCTCTGATTCGTGTGATATAGGGGGTGTCCTCGAGCGAGACGATTCGCCGCGGCCCGAGGGGGCCGCTCCGCGTTCGCAGGGGGTGGTTCCGGGGATTTCGATGCAAGGCGTGCGGCATCGCGCTGCGAGTCAGCGCGACGCGCTACGACGTGTTATACGCGTCCTACCTCGGTCCCTCCCGTTCTCTCCCGTAATTGTAATCTCTTTCGCAGCCTCTCTGATCCCCCT